TGGAATTATGAAATTAGAAATTAGGACTAGACTCCTAGTTCCTAGTACACTTAAGAGTTTAAGTTAATAATAAAAAATTAAAAATATGGCGTAAAAGAACAGGCCTCGGCCGATATCTGCCAACCCACTACTCATTCCGCCGATGAAAAATGTTTGGTGTACACGAAATGTGTACACCTAGCAAAACTCCTCAGCCGATTGCCCGATTTCTGCCATTCCATGGTTCTGCCAGGCACCAGGTGCGCTACCCATTTGCAAGTTAGCCAATTCGCTAATGACCTCCCTCCAAATTTTGAGATTTCAATTGTAATTTGTCACGAGTATATTTCAATAATTTCTTCAATTTTTCTTGCTTCCGCAATTCACTATTTAGCATAGTTTTTTTTTTTTTGGAAAATTCATCATAGATATTAAGTGAAATTTGTAAATGACTTATTCTGATCTACATCTAATTTATTACGGAGTAATTATTATTTATTAATTGTATTAAACTTGAAACTTTGTGTAATTAAATATAGCTTGAACTTGTTTTTTTAAACAAAGTGAACAAAATGAAAGTGCTTCAACAAAGAGATATGAATGTTGGTGTGCCTTTAAATCTCTTGAAAGGATTGATTATATTTTTCAAAGAATATAGAGAAGAAGGGTTCGAGAAAGCCAAAATTTGCTATCTACTCTTGATTGTGGAGCTGTACTTACAAATTTTGCACATCAAAAGGCAAGAAGAATATATTATTAGGTAGTAATTTTATAATTTTGTTTATCTGTTCAAAGAATTTATATTTTCACATATTTTATATCAATTTTAAGTCAAGTATTTCCTTTTACATTTAGTAAAAAAATTGTGTTACAAATTTCTAATCACTTCATATTTAATTATGTTATTAATTTTAAATACTATTTAATCTCATTAGTCATTATTTGTCTTGGGCATCCAAACTCCTAGAAACTTGATCATGTGTGGTAGAGTATTTATGCTTATGACACATTGACTTGCTCTCAGTTCATGTATGATTTTTGTCAATAAGTATCGAGTTTTGTTTATATGCTTAAGTATTTCACTATTACATTTCAACTCTTAATGTATCACTTAAATATGTTACAATATCATTGTCTCATTGAAAATGTCACGCTAAAAAATGTAACAATTTCTTCCCATTACATTTGTTTATGTTGCATTTGATCTATTGTAATACTTTATAATTTCTAATGTAATACTACGTACTAACTTTGACCGAGATAAAAGTGTTACATTTAGAACCAAAAGTGTTACAATTAAATGAGATGTTACAATTGAGAATTATTGTTACCTATACAAAAGTGTTACATTTTAATAAAACTATTACATCAAAAGAAAATGTTACAAAAGACAAGTCTGTTACACATGACATATATCGTGGGTGCGTGTTCATGCATAGAGCATTCAAAGATTATATATATACGTAATGTAATACTACATAGGAATGATAATGTGCGTGCATCTCGTATGATAGTAAAACATTACACACACGAGAATATACACATAGATAAAAAACATTACACACACGAGAATATACACATAGATCACCAACAAAAATATAGAGAATATACACATACCAGCTCCTCTTTGGCTTGGATGGTTTAAAAACATGTTCCTATCCTTCAAGCAGTCAGGAGTTCGAAGCTGGTATCAGAGGAGGAGGAGGAGAAAGACAGATTCCTAAATTTATATTAGGCAGATTCTTAAATATATTAGTCTATTAGATTTCTCATTCAATTTAATTTTCTCTTATATGCATCATTATACATTTTATTCAAGTGAGCTTTCACTTCACTCTTCATACTTCAACTTGCACGGAAGTGAACCCAAGATCTTCCAAGTGTATTTCAATCATTTGCAAATTGTATCTTGGACCAAGAGATTGGGCCACAAAGACTATTAGGTTCATTTTATCAAAAACACCCCAATATTTGTCAAACTTGATTTTCATTGATTTGACCACACTTTGCAAGATATCATTTTTGGAATCCTGAATCTTTCAATCAATTTCTAGTTTCAAGTTAACTAAACTTCTCAAAACTAGATGTGATGTAGGGCTCTTCGTGGCACTAAGTTTGATAGTGACATCATAGAACTTTGGAAAATGTGAAAAGCCCATTGCTTTTCCCCAGTCTTCCTCTTCCGGAGATCCCACTCTCTTGACTTTAACTTTTTGGCCATCAACCTCTCTAATTACTTCCTCACTAAAATATGCATGAAATTGTGTGCTATTCTAAAGCAACCTTGCAAAAACGCCTTTGTACTTAGAATAGATTCCATTCCACCTTGTCACCACATCCAAAGGAATGATTACCATCTTATCCTTCTTCAATACGCACAATCTTGAACTTATCCAATCTCTACACTTGAAGAATGAATAAACTTGACACAATTTCGAATACCCTCAATGAAGTCAACCAACTCCTTCATCCTATCCTTCACAATCAAATTAATAATGTGACACGAGCACCTCATATGCAAGTGATAACCGTCAAGAAAAAGATCATCATGATTCTTTAGCTTCTTCTTCATGTACTCAACCGCAACATCGTTGGAACTAGCATTATCAACAGTAATGCTAAAAACTTTGCTTATACCCCACTCATTCAACTTTTCTTCAAGACATCTACCTATATCACCACCCTTGACGTGCACTTGTCGTGAGGTGCACTCAAAATAAATATCAATACCACAAATATACGTAGTATATTGAAGTAAGGTTCGTATCCACAGGGAAAGGAATACTTCTCTTTTTGTATAACTAGTAACAAGGGGGGTTTTAGATTTGTTGTTGAAGAACTTTTAAGTATATTTAAACACAAAGATGAACGAGTTATGTGGTTTAATTAATGAGAAGGAGACTTGGCTTTGCTTTTATCCACTTAATGAAATGTTCGTCGATCCCGGTTACATCTTTAACTATCTTCCTCTCGAATACTCAATCGAGGAGTATATCCAGTTCATCGAGGGTAGTTATTAATAACGAGACGCGTTCATTAATAAAACTTACTATCGAGTCAATATAGAACAAGCGCCGTATATTAACTTGATAGTAACAATAAACTTAAGATGAAAACGATTGAGATTGATAACCTCAACACAAGCGGTTTATTGGTTAATCAATGTAATTAATTCCCCTTAGATTATTAACCATGAGATGCATGCATTAATAATCCAAGTTTACTACCGCGAAAGGACCGAATTAATAACAAGCGTATTAATCGACCGATTCTAGTATTAATTAATATATGAAACAAAACTAGTTGATCCTTTAAGTAATGTTCAAAATATTAATATGAAATATGAATAGGAATTAATTAATACTCAAGAAAGAATATTAAAGAAGATGAATCCTACTATGGTTAATATCAAGATGTTAACTAATTGTCATCTTAGTAACACTCCCCGATATTAACGTAGAGGAAGAAATAACTATTACTATAATTAATATCAAGATGTTAACTAATTGTCATCTTAGTAACACTCCCCGACATTAATATAGAAATAGTATTTAAAGAAAGAATTAATATTCAAGGAAGAAGATTAAAGAGAATAACTCACAACTTACAAATTCATTAAGCTTCAAAGTAGCAAAACCAAGATAGAAGAGTTTAGCTCCTCATTTGGAGACTAAACATGATAGAAAATATAAAGAAAACACTAATCTAAACTGAGCTAAAGAGTATATGTGAATTGGTGATTTTATTGTGAAGGAAAGGGGTGTATTTATAGGCTTTTGGGAGCTGCAGGGTCTGATACCCGACCGGGTATATAGGATACCCGACAGGGTATCTTAGGAAATTGCCCAGAAAGCCACTTTTCTGGGCATACCCGATCGGGTAAGGGTATATACCCGATCGGGTATGTGACAAATCTTTATGAAAATTTGCTCCCACGATCATTTGTCTTCGGATTTGATTTGGACAGTCGAATCAAGCAATTACCCGATCGGGTATAGGCAATACCCGACCGGGTACATGAGTATTTTTTCCAAATCGAAATCTTTCTTGCCTCCTTGCACTTTCCTTGATCTTTTAAGGTCCAATCTTGATCCCTTGGATGATTTTTGACCTGTTTAGCTCAGAAAAATCCTAATCTAACTAAATTACAAATAAAAAATGAAAATAAAGTATTACACCAAAAGTGTGTAATTTTCACAACTAGAACTAATAAAAACTAGTTAAAAATAAAAACATACAATCGGAAATTACATGAATATCAACTGTCCTAAAGGATAACTCTCCTTCAATGATCTGCTTCACACACTTCATGTCAAGTCTTTTTTATTGAATTTATGGATTTGCACCTCGCCTCTTATACTCATTTGAGTTAGAATTGGTTGATTTGGACTAGCCCTGTTACAAAGAGGAGATCCTGTACACCGATATAAACGGTTAAGAAGGGTTGTCGTACCATTTTTCTTAGAATCTGCCCGATACTTTTTTGGCAATAATTGCATATACAATTGGATACACATTGTCCTTACTATCTTTACCTTCCCCTTTTGTACAATGAGACCATACAATACTCTTTCCCGGTTTCATTTAATTGACAACACCAGTAGAATCTTGCACGGTATCTTGGATTTGAGATTGTTCCTCAAAGGGCGAGCTTTGAGGTTTGGAACCAGAATGAGCATCCATCTAAAAAAATTAAGCTAGAAGTTGAATTCATCTAAAAGAGCATCACAATTGGTTGCCTACACAATATATTTATGGATGTGAGCATGTAATTTTAAACAAATGGATCATGACAGTGTTCTGAATACAAGTCCAAAATTAACATTATTATACTTCTATCTACTGTATTAATGTATTATAAATAGCTAGCATAGAGTAAAAGAAAAGTTGTGAAACAAAGAGCGCATTTGTATTGTTGGTCCAAAATAGAACGCTCGTAGGCTTTTAGAAAAGCTACGTAAGAACACTCAAGCAGAAATCAGGAAAGTAATACGAGTAAGGAAAGTGCTAGGAGATTGAGTTGCCAGAAATGACTTATAGCAGTTCCCCTAATTTGAATTACAATCTGCCTTTTATAGGCGTATACAAATCGTAACCGCTATCGATAATAATGACTAATTAATTACAACATTAATACGAAATTAAATACATAATTAAACAACGCATTAATTGCTTGACCGTTACTTTTCCCAGCTGGCAGGTCGGGCGGACTGACAGGCTCCCCGCTGGACTGGTAGATAGGTTCCAGGTCATGAACTTGGATCCACGGGTCCAAGTTCGGGGCTTGGGCCGATTAGGCTCTGGGCCTAGTCTTATTACTCCATCACGAGTTCCCCACTCCCTTAGTCGAGTAGTAAACTCGGCTAAGAGGGAGTAGTCCAAGTCAGTTGCTCTTCTTCGAGACTGGAAGATCCCCGCCTTTGTCCATGTCGGGGAGATGCCTCATTAAAAACCTTCATTAGGAAAAAACCCAATGGGAAAAAATCCCAATGAAGGGAAAAAGAGTACACCTGGCGCCCCCAAGATGAAGCAAGAGGTGAAATCCTCAGCCTTTATTGCAACGCTCACCATCTGTGAAGGGGATGACTAGAACCGTTCTTCTTGTCGGGCTTGAACTCATCAGGCTACTCCTCGTTCAGTCGTACCTACACATAAAAGCAACAGGTGTATAATAGAGCATTTGGTCTGGTGTTGAACCACGACTCAGTGAGTGAGTGAGTCGGACTCACTACTTGAAAAGAGTGACAGCAATTTCCCAAGTTAGGCCTTAACCCAGCCTCCGAAAGGAAGATTGAATCCGCGAGTAAGTGACTCGGAGTCACCATTCGAACGGATAATCCAACCCCACAGAACTAAAGTATATCGACCTTTTCAGGAAATGTGAATGTCAAATAAGTGAGTGAGTGAGTCGGACTCACTACTTGAAAAGAGTGACATCAATTTCCCAAGTTAGGCTTCAACCCAGTCTCCGAAAGGAAGATTGAATCCGCGAGTAAGTGACTCGGAGTCACCATTCGAACGGATAATCCAACCCCACAGAACTAAAGTATATCGACCTTTTCGGGAAATGTGAATGTCAATTAAGTGAAAAAAATTGCTCGGAAGAGCGTGGCTCTAGGCCCCTAACAAGAGTTTAACTCGGCACCCGAAGTTAGTAGTTCGAACCCGCAAGTGAAGACTTTTGAACGGGCGACACGTCCCCCGAGGTCGGAGTGTGATGCACTGGGAAGGGGTAAGAGCACGCAAGAACTCGTATGAAATCAAGAGTGTGCGGTATTAACATTTATATTGGAGCTTATTAATCGCCACACCCATATGACGTGATCCGGTGGCGCGAGTGTGTGTGCTCGACCATTGTACGAGTGTGTGTGCTCGTCCGGTGTACGTGAGTGATCGGATTTCATAAGTCCGTTTTCAATGTTAAAATTACACACATTTAAAGAGAGTAAAAGAAATTATACCACTTAATGTACTTTTCAATATGCTGCAATTTATGATTTTTTTTTTTGCAACTAAATAAATTTTTCTATGTATCAAATATACGGAATAGATGATTTTTTATACTTAGCTTTTGTTTGGGCCATTTGTTGATGGGCTTGGCTGAAATGAATAAGAGCCTGGTGATTCCCTTGGGCCCATGCTAAATTGTGGAATGCTGCAGACTTGTTGAATGATTGTGGTCCGTCTTCTTCTCAGCAACTCCCGTTAGGTCCGGAGAAATGAGGGCCGTTCTGCAGCTCCGGAGAGGAAGAGGAGATGTCCTCGATTCCGCCGGAAAGGGAGGACGAACTCGCCATCGTCGAAGTAGGGGCGGCCCTCGGTTCCTATTGCCAGCCCGGAGCATCTCGCCCAGGGGTCCCCAATACCGCAACTCGATCTCAGCGTGCAGGCCCAGCAAACCTCGACGGCGGGCGGCGCGGTGACAGGTGCGGCGGTGATGGAGTTGCAGAGCTCGTCTTGGAGTCATACGGTATACGTCGATCTCCACTTTGCTGCCGGTCATTAGGCTGATTCAGGCCTCGACGGCAGACCGTGGGTTCATACGTTGTTTAGGCCGTATGTTTGCAGGAACCTTCATGGCGGTGGTGCTAAAACTCGAAGCGACGGTGGTGCTGAACCAGGAGCGAAGGCGACGAGAGCCGCCACGACCCGACAGACTACAGGTGGTGCAGTGAAGTGTTCGAGCTTGGCAATGATCTTGACTGCTTCAGTAAGCCCAATTAGCTGGAGTTCGGGTCAACAGAGGAAGATCCCAAACTTTTTTGGATTTCCAGAACCGATTTATTCGTGTTTTCATTTTTTTTTCAACAGATTTTCCAGAAATTCCCTTTCTTGATTCCCACCGGAGTGATATGAGAGAATCCAAGCTCTCAATGAAAGCACCAATGTTGGTCCAAAATAGGACGCTCGTAGGCTTTTAGGAAAGCTACGTAAGAACACTCAAGCAGAAATCAGGAAAGTAATACGAGTAAGGAAAGTGCTAGGAGATTGAGTTGCCAGAAATGACTTATAGCAGTTTCCCTAATTTGAATTACAATCTGCCTTTTATAGGCGTATACAAATCGTAACCGCTATCGATAATAATGACTAATTAATTACAACATTAATACGAAATTAAATACATAATTAAACAACGCATTAATTGCTTGACCGTTACTTTTCCCAGCTGGCAGGTCGGGCGGACTGACAGGCTCCCCGCTGGACTGGTAGATAGGTTCCAGGTCATGAACTTGGATCCACGGGTCTAAGTTTGGGGCTTGGGCCGATTAGGCTCTGGGCCTAGTCTTATTACTCCATCATGTATCATTTAAGTGAAGAAAGAATATTAAAGGAAAGGAATTCACATTGGTATAAACGTAAGGAAGAGGTGAGGATATGGCAGCTCATGCAAAAAGCAATATCCCCTTGAACAAATTGTTTAGTCCATATTTAGTCAAGCTCTAAAATCAGCTTTCAATGTAGTAAATGGATGGTTTAAAACCTTAAACATTAGATTTTATTATTATAATGGTTAAGATTAAGATTACAAGGACATCTTGTTCTGTTCTGTGTACTAAATAGAAAATATAAGGTACCACCTTATCAACATGCTTCTACTTTCTGGCTTAAAATATTACATTTTTATTGCTCATTTACAAAATAAAACGTAATTTATTTTATTGAAAGTAGAAAACTTTTCCAAGTTGACATTTGTTCAGTCATTCGTGGTGTTCCTTTTTCTGGGGTTCCCTTGAACAAAACCGACACAAGTTGACATTTGGTAGATTTTAAAAAAAGTCGGCCAACGTAGTTTTTGGCTACATGTCACCGATAAAATGCTAATACGCCAAAGAAAATGCATATCACGGTTTTTTATATTTGTTCGTTACTGCATAGAATGATGCATACACACTGTTTTCTAACTTTCTTAGGATTCCCAAATTTATAATTTCTTATATATATGTCAAAAATAAGATAATACTTACCTGCACTCTTAGATCAGAGATGGTAGCCTGAGCGATGGCGGCCGGCAGCATAGTTGTAGGCCTGTAGTCTCAACTCTCAAGTTTGCTCGCCGGTCGCATACGTCCATCATTTTAAATTCGTGAAAATACTCCGCTTGTGTATAGAGGATTATTTTAATTATTTTCAATTATTTTATTAACATAATGCACTTGGTCAGTTGGGTCCACTGTTCTAAAAATCCATTTAGGAGCCCGATTAGTCCCCGCCTTGGCGCTAGACGGTGGTCGGGAGTCTCAATTTCAATCTAGGCATCCCGATTAATTAGTCGGTCGTCTAGGGTGCCTAAATGTTTGACTGGAGCGCTTAATCGGCCGCCTAGGACGTCTTGTTTCACCAAACTGTTTTTTGCTTCTTTTTTACTACCTCCGTCCCACTAAGATTGGGACGGAAGAAGGTGACACGATTATTAAGAAAAGTGGACTTGTGTGGTTGATATTAAATCGATAAAGTAAGAATAAAGTAAAAATGGTTTAGAGCCACACAATCTTTACCAAATTTGGTATGGGACAATCTTAGTGGGGCTTCCCGAAAAGGTAAAATGGGACAATCTTAGCGGGACGGAGGGAGTAGCTTTTAAAAAATACTCAGTATAGGACTAAAACATATACAAAGACTAAGTTGATGAATTTCTCAAACGATGAGTGAATAGTCCTATTTTGGGAATAAAACAGTGATAATCCTCTTTATGAACTTTATTCTTGTTTTAGTCCTATTTAGAGAATTTTTCTTTAATTTTCTAAGAGATACATGTTACCTTTAACTTTAACAATACAAATGAGAAAAGCTACGTACTGATTGTAGATTAAGATATAACTATATATGTTTGTATACAATCTTAAATGTTATTATTATTTAATAATATTTTTTATATAATGAATTTAAGTGAATATGTATAAATGTATAACATATTATTAAATGTGACAACTCTATCAATCATGCAATTTAATGTTTATGTGTGTGTATTTTTATAAAACACAACTTTACTAATCGTATTTATGAAAAGACATTGAGAAAATTATATTTTTTTTTGTTTTCGACTACTCCCTGCCTAGCTAGCTGCTTAGGCGCTGGGCTGGCGCCCAACTAGCACCTAACACCTTCTAAAACATTGGTTGGGCCAAATGATGTATTTGAAAATAGAGGACTTGGGCTTGGCAAAATTATATAATAAAAATAATGATTTTATTATATATTATATAAAATCGGTTCAGTTCGGTTGAACCGTCCTTTTGCATATCAAGAACTGGTACTGAACCGAGGTGACAGGTCCCAATTCTCGGCTCCTAATTTTTTCGGTTCGGTTCGATTTTTTCTTTGGCAGTTCGGTTTTTTTCGGGTCAGTTTTCGATTTTTCAGTTTAAAATTGCCAGCCCTAGTGCGCACTAGACCCGGACTGACTAGATTCTGCTCGGATATCGGTCTTTTTTATGATTTAGATCTCTGGTCTGGTTCAAGATCAGACTCGTTTGGACATTAAACACAATACACACATTTATGAATATATTGTATTTAAATGAAATAAATGTGTATTTTAGCACAAATCTAATGATTATTTGTCAAGCTGGGTGCATTTCATTTCTATGCTACACAGAATTGCTGCAACCCTAACACTAGCACAGATGGATTTGGCCCACCATTTATGATTTGAAAGTATAAATAAATATATTTGTCTAGTCTTTTAGAGATAAGAAATACAAAGCATATCTCAGTTTGAGGTTTAAAACAATTCACGTGTACCTTGTATTTTTTCGGAAAGGTCTCCATCATCCGCATAGGATAGCATGATACACAACATACATTCTGAGCGTCCATAGCCAATAAGTTTGATCAACCCGTCACACCTCATTTGCATCAGGTTGTAGCAATCATTCTGATAGATCAATATGAAATGCTATATACTTTAATAATTGTTGTTATGCACTCCAAGTCCAACAAAATATTTAACTTACGAAGTGTGCCAGTGATGTAATCATGGAATGAAGTTTGAGTGCATATTGCATGCCTAAATTTGAGTGATGTAAATATTTATTAGAAGAATATGATGTATTAATCATTAAATCATAAGCACATCATTAATAATGTTTTATTTGCATGCCTAAATTTACAATATTCTGGACAAGCAAATAGAAGTACCTAGATAAAATTTGGAGTTATAACTACACAAATGGTCTTAATGGGCGGGTATATGTTTTAGGATAGAATACATAGATATGTTTTGAAGATAAAGCATTTGATTTTAGGATTAGTTGATTGTGAACCCTTTACTTTACCTATTTGGATCTCCTTGATCTTTCATTAGTGTTTTAATGCATTTTGATGAAGAAATTGTGAACTCTAGTGCATCTGTGTGTTTTGGTCATTTATGAGATTGAATGGCAAAGAGGAAGCTAATGATATTTCATAAGCATTGATAACATCAAAAGGTAAATGCTATTGGAAAATGCTTATAATCTAGATATTCCTCCAATGCAGAAAAACAGGTAATGATGAAGTGAAGAAATCAAGAGAAGAGGATTATCCAACACTATCATTAACAGAGATTTTCTGTGGTCAAGAACTCCCAAATTCCTACATGGATAGGGTAAGATTTTTAATAGTATAGGCAATCAAGAGGGGGCACCTAGATTTTATCCTCCAACTTAACAGAAAAGAAATTGTTTTCAAGAAATCGGAGTGGAATGAGTGGTCTCAAAATCTTTCAGTGATCTGATGCATTGAGTTTTCGGGAATTTATGTTAGCCAGAGATATGATTGATTCTAGCATCCGTCTTCACGCTTCTGAAATTTCTTTTCTTTAAGAAGCTACTTTGACTAGCTGGGTTTCACACACTAGACTAAATCCTTGGTCTCGGTTATGAGTTTGTACTATGTTCAGATTAGGGGTGAGTTCGGTTCTTGCGGTTCGGTTTTGACCTAAAACCAAATACAGAATCAAAGTAAAAAGTTCGGTTCAGTTTCGGTTCGGTTTTACACTCCAAAACTTGGAACCACGGTTTGATTGGTTCGGTTTGTTTCGGTTCGATTTCGGTTTTTTCAGTATACCAAAAAAATCTCACTTGATTTAAAATTGATATAATACTTAGAGCGATCAAACATATATGATAGTATTACACAAAGAATGCAAGCACAATACAACAACAAATAAAATAAAAATGGGAAGAAATAAATATGGCTTGAATTATATGAGTTCGTGAGATAGATAAAACTGTATATATTATTATTTTTTGTGACTACTTCGAAAACAGTTCATGAATATATACGTTCTATGTGATATAGTTGAAATGAATATTTATTGTTTTATCAATATAAAAACTTTAAGTTATCTAAAAATAAAAGTTAATTACTACTAATAACTAGTAAACACATATTATCATCATTCAATATAGCTACATTATTACAGATAATGAATGTGTCAATGAATTTATAAACTAAATTAAACTAAACATAACACAAACATTATTTCTCTAACACAAGAAAACCAAAGACTATTGACGATATTAAGATTAATTAGAATTAATGTTTAACAATTAACATATAAATTTCATATTTTAAATAGTTCGGTTTGTTCGGTTCGGTTTTGAAAGGTAAAAACCAAAACCGAACCAAACAAATTTGGTTCGGTTCAGTTTTTACATTCGGTTTCGGTTTGTTAGCGGTTCGGTTTTATTTGACTACGGTTCGGTTTAATTTGATTCGGTTTTCGATTTTTTATTTTTCGGACCCAACCCTAGTTCAGATCCCCATATGTCAATGCTTGTCTCTAAGCCACTTTGAATTGGTATGCTTGGTTAAGCTAATAAAATTTATGCTCCGTTATATAAGAAAAATGTTACATGGAGGTCAAACTAAACAAAAGTATCCATTAAAAGCACCTAAAAACAATACATCATATGACATAATTTCACCAAAACCAAATACATACGAGGTAACTTATCCTATTTTGATGAAAAACACTTGTGTCAGAAAGATGTGCATGTTGGAAAGAAAAAAGTATTTATCATACACATAAACAAAATTAGTTACCATTGTCCTCAAGATAATCAAACCTCTTGCGGCAAAAAGCGCATCCAAACTCGTAACATTGTAACTCATAGCATCTTTGAATTCCATGCTCGCCGGGTATCTCATAGCTACTTCTCGTATTGATTGAATAAACACAACAAACTTTTTTTCAATTGATTTAAACAAGAAAAATAGCAATTCATTTTCTTCACTGCATACACACAAATACATATCTTGATATGCTAATTCATATGCACTCAACACATTCACTAGAATAGAAACCCTATTGGGCAACAAGTAAATGTACGAGCAACAAAATCACATAGCCTTGGGCCCTTGCTCATTATTAGTGTTTCACTGTTTTGTTCAAGGGACTTTCTCTGTCACCTATGTGTTAGCTTATGGAAATGAGTACATATAGTCGTTGCACAAATTCAATCTTTGGGTATTAAATATTAGAGAATATTATCCGAAATAGGACTAAAAACGTTTGAAAATTCCAAAATAGATCTGCTATATTTTTATTCTCAAAATAGGACTAATTACTGTCATGTTTTGGCAGTACCAGACTTCAAAAATTGCAGTATTTTCTAAACTTGGCAGTAAATTTGGGAATAAAAAATATGACAGTCCTATTCTGGAATTTTCAAACTGTTTTAGTCCTATTTTGAGAATCTTTCCCTAAATATTAATTTAATTTTCTCTGAAGTTCAAATTGGCTACTAAAATTACTGCTATAATGCCAACACTAGTGGTAGCAAATTCAAATTCATGCTCCAATCATTGAAGGAGTAAAGGGTCAGTTTGGTCCTCGAAGTTGCAAAAAAGGGGTCAAATAAGTCCTTATATAGAAGATTCTGTCCGGACGTGCCATTTGAGGTGGCTCCCGATAGAATTTTTCGATGAAATTTTTTGAGCATCTTATTCATTAAGTCTAGTTTACTCATACCAAATTTCAAATAAAAATTCAATCGGGAAGACATTCAAATGAATTCTTGAAGATAATTGCGCTTTTAACGGCACAGTTATCTTCAAGAATTCATTTGAATGTCTTCTCTATTGAATTTTTATTTGAAATTTGGAATGAGTAAACTAGACTTAATGAATAAGATGCTCGAAAAATTTCATCAAAAAATTCCACCGGGAGCCACCTCAAATGGCACGTCCGAACAGAATTTTCTATATAAGGACTTATTTGACCCCTTTTTTGCAACTTCGAGGACCAAACTGACCCTTATCCCATCATTGAAGTACTAAAGAGTGCAGGGCGCCATTGGCAAGAAAACTTCTACAAACTTCTATGGTAACCTTGTTTACTTATCATGCATCAGCTTACAACTTTTATTCCCTCCCTACTCAATCTTCTCTGCATCAGTACCCTCCTCACCCACAGTGCCTGCTTTTTCTAACCGCCTTACTTAGGCTACGCCCCATCACCGATTTGTTTCTCATCTCCCCACTAATGTTAAAACTGAATTAGCTTTTCTTTCATATAGTGAGATTTCTCCTTTTCAATTCTATATTTAGAAGCAACGTTTTACAAAATTAGTTAGGATAAGCTAATTTATTTAAAACAGGTCTTGTCTTCTCACTTGAGTCAATTTTGTATGAAAAAGTTGCACTAAGCATTGGATATATACTGACGATCAACAGCCATCCTCTACTGTTTCAATAGCCCTTCTCTTTTGATCTATTATCAATTTATTAAAATGGTTAGGATTTGTACTACAATACTAAAACTGTCAATTGATAATGGTAAAGACTACATTAAGCATCATACTCAGTAAATGAAAATGAATAAAACCAAGAGCCATACCTTATGGTATAGTATACAAAGAAATCGCGGCGCTAGAACAACATCTGGTTTCACAAAATCATTAAGATGAACCACATTCATGAAATGGAAGAAAAATCTGGCGCAATTCATCTGGCTTACACCTAAAGACTGCGTCTCTGGGTCTGTTTCTTGCCACACCACGAGAAGAAAAAATTGATAGTCCTGATGAGGTGCATGGTAGGCAGTAAACACCACATATTTACCCCGTACTATACTTATCTTTAAAGAATCTTCACCAATATTCTGACATCAACAACCATGAAAATTGACGAAAATTCCTTTTGTACACGTTCTTATACACGTCAGTACACCCCGTACATGATTAAGAATTAAGATAGATTTATTTCTCTCCCCCTCTAACTCTCATATTGACCCGATGTCCATTTTTCTACATGCTAGACCTAGCAACATCAAATTGTATAATTGATGTGGTGTATGGTTAAATCATGGATGACATCGGGCTTTTTACAAAAAATAATAAAAGAATTATTGTAACCTTATTCAGGTAACGCTTAGTTAGATTCATTATAAATGTGTTCATTGAATCCTAAAGATTATTAGCAGCATCAAAGTGAAGCATTCTCTAATCTAGCTATTTTTTTGAATTAAAATAGAATTTTATTAAAAGAAGAAAGCAATACAAAACGAGAAAGGAAAAGAGTACATAAATAAATGAAACATAAATAACTAATCCCAAGGAAAATCTCTAATCTAGCTACTCTTCTTCTCCATTTACAAAGTAAATAATACAGGCATACAGCTCTAGTTTTATAGTCACGTATATCTGATTCTCTTTGATACTCCCTTGCACATTCGGCTCTTTCATGAATTACGTACGTAGCAATCTTCTTTATGTTTGAACAATTTAAATCCATTTGATTTTTAATACCTGCAAAAAAATTGCAAAAGCGAAACTATTATGAAATCCAAAACCGGTCAAACTTTAGTGGCTACGGTAAAATACTACCTCTGTCCCCCTAAGTTTGGGATAAGAGAAAGTAACACGATTATTAATAAAAGTGAATTTATGTTGTTGATATTGAATTGATAAAGTAAGAATAAAGTAGGAATGATTTAGATTCACACAAACTTTACCAAATAATGTACTCGTATGAGACAATCTTAATGGGACGGACCAAAAAGATAAAATGGGACATTCATAACGGGACGGAGGAAGTAACTATATGCTCCCCCAAAAAGTCACCCCGTACCTTTTGTTCAGAAAAAAGGCTACCGAAAAAAAGAATTCCATATACTCCATATCTTTTTCCTTGCAAATAAATACTGTAAAAATACACACCTAAAGGATATGTATTTACCAATATACAATCCAAAACGCGTACATACATATGAAAACAAAGCATGAAGCACTAATCCTCTTCCATCTAAGTGGTTTAAGTTCAAAGCCCTACTCCACCCCTTTAATTGTTATCTGATCTTCAGCTTTTCCCCATCGCCATTAGCAGAAAATTCATGCAGTGAGTTTCTCTTAATTTAGCCATCCAGATTTATATCAACTTTTCTTTGAAAAGCTCTTTCATTCGGATGATATTATCTTTTAAAAACAGGCCTTTTGTCTTATTTATGTGTTTAGAAAACCTTTGTTCATGTGTTGTGTTGATAGAAAAAAAATGCTTGTGTATAACTACTGTATATGAATATAAGGTTTGCCTGTTGATAATGGAAAATCAATTCAAACGTCTGCCTCTCTTAACTCTTATGTGGTCTACATCTGAATAAAAGATCCATTTTTTTTTTGAATTTTCTGCCATTCATGTGTTGTGCTCTGGACATTGCGAAGTAATTGTGACTCGAATTTCCTCAAGGGAAGACTGTTTTATGCTAAATGGATCAAATTTTAATGCTAAATAAAAGAGTTTACCAAATTAAGGTATGGTATGGAGTATAAAATATTTCCCAAACTGGCAAACTAATGCTACATTTAACTCTAGTTAGCACTCCGTATATAAATGTAGAACTCAATTTCCGTATGTAGCAACACGGCACACAAGAGGGAGAAAATAGATTGGGTCCCACAAATAAAAAAATCTCTTATTTTTTTAAAGTGTTATAACTTTTTTTCCGATTGTTACAAAAAATACATCAAAATTTATAACTTTTTATTATCTTTCATATGAGATCAATATTGGATATAAAAAAACTTATACTCCCTTTGTCCCGCTATTAACTCCTAACTTTGACCTACACACATATTTAGGAAATAAATTTGACTTTAGTGTTTAGACACTGTTTGACACTGTTTAGACACTGTTTGGCATTGTTTTGCACTGTTTGACACTGTTTTGATGTAGGATAACTTTCCATTTGGGGAAATGAGAAGATGATTTTGGGATGACCCAAAAAGGAAAGGAGAAAGTTAATAGCGGGAAGGATGAAATCTTTTTTAAAGTGCTATAATTACTTAATTTGTACTTAGATTAGATGTATACAAGAAATATATAAATTTTTATAACCTCTTATTATCTTTCATATGATATCAATATTGCATATGAATAATTAAGAGCCCGTTTGGTAGTACGAAAATCGGATGATTTGGCTGATTCTGCTGAAATTTATGAAATTCTGGCTAAAGTGGCTGCATTGGTTGATTCTGCTGATTTAAGAAAAAATTATTTTTAAAATATATTTTAGTAATAAAATAAAGAAGAAATTATATGTAAAGATAAGTAAAATGGTCATCTACAATAACTTCACCCAAAACATCCAGAAAAGTAACTTCATCTTGTGAGCTGCTAATTATAACAGTGTAAATACTTCATCAATTTACACTGTTATAATAACTTACATATTCTTGAAACACTTTACCAGAAAAGTCCATCTTCTTGAAACACTTTACATATGAGTAAAGGGTCAGTTTGGTTCTCGAAGTTGCAAAAAAGGTGTCAAATAAGTCCTTATATAGAAGATTCTGTCCGGACGTGCCATTTGAGGTGGCTCCCGGTAGAATTTTTTGATGAAATTTTTTAGCATCTTATTCATTAAGTCTAGTTTACTCATACCAAATTTCAGCTAAAAATTCAATCGAGAAGACATTCAAATGAATTCTTGAAGACAACTGCGCTTTTAACGGCACAGTTATCTTCAAGAATTCATTTGAATGTCTTCCCGATTGAATTTTTATCTGAAATTTGGTATGAGTAAACTAGACTTAATGAATAAGATGCTCAAAAAATTTCATCCAAAAATTTCACCGGGAGCCACCTCAAATGGCACGTCCGGACAGAATTTTCTATATAAGGACTTATTTGACCCCTTTTTTGCTACTTCAAGGACCAAACTGACCCTTATCCCCTTTACATATGCTGTAAAGTGTATTTACCTCACAATTTGGTAAACACTTTTTAATTTTGCATTACTCTTGAAACAAACTCTTTTATCCGATAGACAATGATTATGCCCTAAGGTTTACCAACTTTTTCAAGCTAAAAGATTATCATTAGTACGGTGCATTTAATGTCCATTGGAACTCTAAAAAAGCAATCCAACCCATGCTCTTTGTACCCATTTTAATACACACCATATACCCACTATATATACTCCCAAAAATAATTACCCCCATTCACCCCATTTACCTCTTCCCCCTTCTCTCCTCTCTCCCCCACCTTTTTGTACGCCCTTTCTCTCCTCTTTCACCCTCCCATCTTCTATGCCATTCTTCTCCCCCCCTTTCCCCTCCCCCATTTTTTCCTCAACCTAAGCTCGAAATCATACAGACGAAAGAGATAAAGATGATTGATCTACTTCATTTTTCCAACAAGCAGCAGTTTTGAATGTAAATTTTAGCCTATATTTTTCTCTACCTTGATCATTGTGTTCTTTATACATTTAGGATTATATTTGTTTTTTTTCGATTTTATGTATATAATGTATGTTAATGTTGAATGCTTGATTACAAAGATATATTGTTATACTTATATTTGTGATGCTTATTATTGAAGTTTTAATTCAAACTATTCTATTTCACTTTATGTCCAAAAGATATTTGTAGAAATGACTCAATGAATTTTTCATTCGTATCCACTATTTGTGTGTTCATTTTCGTCTTTTGTTAACTTCTTAGACTGTTTTATTTTATTACTATGAATTTTATTTAGCTTTTTAACTCTATTTTTATGCTTAATTTATGATTGTTAAGTTGTTGAGTTTATAGTTTAAGCATTCTATTCTATTTTCTTGCACATTAAGTGTTTGTAAAAAGGTTGCAATGAATATTTGTTGAATATTAGAAACATGAATATAAAATACTAAGACAATTATGGATAACATTCTTTTATTAATTTTTGTCTGTTATAATGTGCATTTATATTTAATTGATATTAAATTTCTTTTTCCAGTTTAAATCTCTTCATCTGAATGACTCCTTGCAGCTTGGTCAAGAAGTGGTGATCAGACGATACGATGACATTAAGAACATTATATATGTTGTTTACCTCTATTAAATTAGTTGTTGTAATAGTCACTTTGTAAAGTAATATTCTATTCTTCTTAGCCAAGATGTCCCCCAAAATTCTCCTTTCGTTTATGGCATTTCTCCAATTTCGTAAAGTTAAACTGAGTTTTATTCTAAACTGTAGCAAGGCACTTCAGATGAAAGCCATTTCCGACCTTTAATACTTGTATATATAAGCTTGAAAGTTAGTTTCCATCCATATTTATTTGGTAATTATATCTGAAATGTCCATATGAGTTGCTTGGGCATGGTTATGAATCATTTTATTGTCTGTGAGTGGTTGAAGCATCGTCTATGTCTTCACTTTGTCTGTATATAGTCAAAAAATCGTCTATGTCTTCACTTTATTGTTTGTAAATGGTTAAAGTATTGTTTATTTGTTCATTTATTTTGTAACTACATAGACAACAATTGTCTGTGTGTTCATTTATTTTATCTGAACACAGACAAATTACCTTGACAACATCCAAAGTCATTCTCTGGATACAAAAGATACACTTTGAAAACCCAAACAATACAAGTCTAATTTAAATCAAAATAAAAGTGGAATACAAACATTGAATATACACTCAAATATTATAAACAAATTGCACTCTAAAATTTAAAATTACAATTATTTTTTAGAAATAATGACAAATATATGATCGAAATAAAAGTAGTGGACAAAAATATGACTCAGTGACTACCATAGTAACTTTAGTTACCATGGTTGTGTTCAA